GGGCACGGCAGCTGCAGCAGAGAGGTGGACCACGACTTTAGCCCTTCAAAACCGTCCTCTGATCAGGCAGGCTCCGCAGCCTCACCCGCACCAACGCAATAGTAGCCCATCTTTGTGACGGGGTACACCTAAAGGTGCGCAGAACAGAGTGGTGTGAATGCATGCTTGCACGCAAAGGTCTGCTGCGCTCCCAACTCACGACGCTCTTGACTTTGCCCTGCTCCAAGTCGACGCGATTGCGAACGATTGAGGTTCCATTGATGTCGCCATCCACCAAAAAGTTTCCTTGCTCCTCCAAGGAGCAGAGACCGGCATTGACTGCAGGTGCAGTACAGACGTACGTGCGCGTCTATGGGAAGGAGGGGGTTGAATGCTCAGTCAGCCGACCGGGGAGAGGAGAGAGGAGATGGAAGCAGGAGCCTGGCTGGGGAGCCTACGCGCCGCGATACAACTCACCCTCGTGCCAAAGGCATCCTCCTCCTTGCTTGCCTTGCCGAGCCTGGCGAAATCCTTGTAATCATAGACGATGGTCGCGACAGTTCCCTTGTTGCTGGTAGCGTTCAACTGAAGTTCCACGCTAGTATTGCTGCCCGGCCACATGCCGGAGCATGTTTGAAGCAGCGGATCCAACGAATCCAATTTGACCTGGTATGCTGCAACTCCACCCAGGTGACTGAGCAGGCATAGCGTCGTTGTCAAGCATAGCAGCAGCCATTCGAATGTGGCTGAGCGAGAACTTTGGCGGCTAGATCGTCGTGCCGGCAACAACATGTTGGTGGTGGTGAGAGTCAGGAGTGCAGAGAACAATGAGCGATTTGGAGCCGATTCTGCTGATCGCGAGTGACGATCTGGCTTCACTGTCGTGCACCTTTGAGTGCCGTCGAGTTCACTCCTTGTGTGTGTGTGTGTGTGTGCGCGCGCGAGGGTAGCGATGAGCGCTTTTTGGAAGGATGCTAGGCAACGACTCTTGGGCCCAAGCGAATCGGTTTGACCTGCTGATTGGATTGCGCCAGAGAGACGGCTGGCAGGATATGAGATCGCGTGTGTGGCTACGGCACGGTCCGCTGTGAGTCAAAAGAGTCGAAGGGGGAAGATTGAAGGAAGAGTGGTGAGTCGAGAGTGTGATTGATGGGTACGGTACGCGTGTACGTGGTTCGATCGTGACGCCAAAATCTCAGCGAGGGACGCCGCGTTTGTTGCGCCGTGTGATCTGACCGCGGGACGCGGGGGCGAAGCTTTGGCTGACCCGTACGCGTACAGTTTTGAGTACATGTATGCAGAGTGGTGTGGCTGTGAGAGGAGGCCGAGCAAGCAGCACGTGATGATCCTTGGAGACGAGCCTCGCCTCGCCTCGCCTCGCCTCGCCTCGCCCGAAAGTTCTCGTGATTCACGCGACTCGTGTCGCTGCGCACGTGGTCTTACACAGCTCCCAACCCACGAAAGACCCGCATCGTCCTGATCCGCTTGTGCCGCGACATCTGGTGAGCGCGTGAGAGAGCTGCCGCGCTGATGCTGATGATGCGGGTGTGCATGGCGTTACGCTGGCTGAGATGATGAATCACGAATGCAGCAGAGCGGGATCGAGGTGAGACGCCCGAAGCATCGGCATCAGCATCAGCATCAGCATCAGCATCAGCATCAGCATCAGCATCAGCAGTCATCGCGAACTTCATGAGATTGACGAGACAGATGTGGTCTGGCGCGCATGGCCATGCAAGATTGCAAGATGAGCAGTCACGAGTCTTACGATTCGAACTGAACAATCTTGAATCGTGAACGGCGAGTGAGAGTGACGAGTGGTGAGTCATGCCAAGAGCGACATTCGTGAGATGGGCAGCAGCAGGCGGATTTGGGAGTGGACAAGCCAGCCAGCCAGCCAGCCAGCGAGCCGCTTGGGGGAGAGATGTCACGCGAGGGGTGAGCAGTCAAGAGTCATGCAGCAGTCAGCAGCGGCCCCTTTGAGCCCGCTCGGGGTGGAGGATGAATGAGCAGGCGAGCAGGCGTGCAGGCGTGCAGGCG